GTTGTGTATACATATATATACTTACTATATATATATATATATATATATATATATACATATATATATCGTGAGCTTCTCGCGAGTATTGAATCTACATTATTCGCGTTCATTGAAACTGCATAACACGCGTACATTCGGACATATAACTGGACGTTTACTACTACTGAGTAAGTTCCTTAAGAGAATGGCGTCGAAATAGCTTGTACATGAACGAGGTAATTGAGGCACGTGACAATATACACACTTCCTATAGGCCTAGACATATACCACCCAATACATATGTGTGTATATAACCATATAACACACTTCCTATAGGCCTAGAAATATACCATCCAATAGAAATGTTTGTATATAACCATATAACACACTTCCTATATGCCTAGACTTATACCATCAAATAGAAATGTCTGTATACAACCATATCGCGCATTTCCTATACAAACCTATAACAACACTAACCGATAGGCCTAGACGTGTATATCCAAAATATAGGCTGTATATAACCATATAGTACACTTCCAATAGGCTTAGACAAATACTATTCAATAGAAATGTCTGTATTTTACCATATTGCACACCCCTTATAGACCCAGACCTCAGACATATCTGCACACACCTATATATATCCCAATCACCACCCACACCGCTCACACCGCCTGTAGCACATACCCCAATTCATCATCGGCCGACGCACTGTCGTAGTGCCCCCCCGCGTACTCAGCAGTGGACGGGCCCAGTGATCCGTGCAGGTGTCGCTGCGGCAGCCTCGGCTGTGTATGTGTGTGTGATTGTGTGTGTCTGTGTGCCTGCGCTCGCGCCTCTCCTCTGGGCGTGTTCCTGGTAGACTCTCTCTGTGCGTGTGTGTACATGTGTGCCTGTATGTGTGTGTGTGCGTGTGCATATGGTCCTATGTATTGCCTGTCTCCGTCCTTGTGTATATGCCATCCCTGGCTGTTCTGTGCGAGGCTCAGTAGATCCAACACACCAAAGTCACACGCCCATCGCCGTTCGTATGTGCACCTTCGCAGTGGTTGTCCCTTGCTCTCGCGCGAGTGTTGGGGCGCAGACGTGTGTGTGTGTGTGTGTGTGTGTGTGCGTGTGTGTGTGTGTGTGTGTGCAGGAGTGATCGCAGGTGTGTGCGGGTGCCCGGTTTGTACCTCACGTACTGAGGGGTGTGTGTAGCGCTGTAATCTGATTGGCTCGTGGTATGCAGCAAACGACCTGGATGTGCACAACCACACGATTGGTACGCAAGTCAGTAATCAAGCCAATATAAACAAACGCCTGTGCGTAACTCAACCGAATGGAGCATACTGTCTTCTACACAAGAATAGATTGGCGTTTGCGCGGAGACAGTCTCCTCTAGCTGACACATGGATTGCTTGTTGCACTCACCTCTACATACACAGACCATAGACTAAACCCCCGGCGAAAATGTACCTACCTACACCCGTCACGTACCTACATCCACACACGCAGCTAAGCACAACAAATACTCCGGTCCAACCAACTGCATAAACACAAACACACGCACATCACAAAGCCACACAAACTACACACACGCACGCACGCACGCACATACACACACACACACACACACACACACACACACACACACACACACACACACACACACACACACACA